CCTAACATAAAATAAAATGTTATAAACATAAAATAAAATGTTAATCTTATAAGGCAGTAACCACATAGATACCAGATGTTTGCCTGAAAGATAGGTGACCAAATGCCGTTTTCCCGAAGGTCATTTTCAAGTGTGAACTTTTGCCCGAAACCCCCCTACCAGAATGGTACATGCCTGAATTTTTTAATTTTTTTAAAAACAAGTAGAGGTTGGAAAAAAAAATTGACTTCTTATTTCAACAACTGTGATAAATCTATGCATTAGTATGCATACACAGCGAGGCTTTCTAAAGGCATCATCTCCAACTTGTTTTAATATCGTAAAATAATTGTACTGTGCTATCTTAAACAATGATGAAAATTTACGTTCGATGTTTAATAAAATGTACACACAATTTTAAAACAAGTAGGCCGACACACGATGATTAATTTCATAAAATATAATTTAAAATTGCAAACATTTAAAATTGATCGAATCAATTAATTTAAAGTATGCTAGACGATACAATGAAAATAATATTCCTCCAATTACACGAAACATACTTGTATTAATTATCAAATAAACAAACTACCTCTAATCGATTTCACGGCGTATATGTGAACTCTATTCTTTAATGAAAATTAAATTAAAACAAATAATTACGATGGTTGCAGAAAGATTTCCAAAGCGACCATCTATTTGTATGAACTCATCTTCATTATACTTTCCGTTTCGTGCTAATACACATAGGGTAGATGAAGTAGAGTTCGTATTTCAATGACCTCGGCATACAGGGGGATAGTGTGGTCAGCACTATGCATATCCGACTTAGTTTCCCTAACGTGTGTCTGGTACCCTTTATAGCTGGGTGAACTCACGGAGCCCAACAGAACTGAGCCTGGAACTCAAGACTTTCGGACTAGCAATAGAACGCTTTGTTTTTACAAGCTTTTATTTAACTTGCTTCCTCTGCCTGTCGTCTGTCTGTCTGAAAAAATCGAAACGTCCGTGCGAAATTGCAAGCACTTCTAACTGACAGATACGGTTCGTAATTGGTACGTGGGTCAAGACATGAAGACAATGCATCGTGCTATTCAATTTGACCTTGTTAGTCGCCTAATTTATATTTTAACAATTAATTAAAATTTGGACCTAATTAGTAGGCAGCTCTATCCACACGCGTCATCACGGCCGTGTTGGGCGTGGAGCGAGTGGGGGCTCTACGTCAAAAGCGCGTGATCAGGTTCAATAGGCGCGCGATGGATTTAGTCGGGTCAGCAGTCTAGTTCTTTACCACTAGACTACGCCATCCCATAATAGGGTTAGGGTTAGGGTTAGGGTTAGGGTTAGGGCTAGGGCTAGGGCTAGGGCTAGGGCTAGGGCTAGGGCTAGGGCTAGGGCTAGGGCTAGGGCTAGGGCTAGGGCTAGGACTAGGGCTAGGGTTAAGGTTAGGGCTAGGGCTAAGGCTAGGGTTAGGGTTAGGGTTAGGGTTAGGGTTAGGGTTAGGGCTAGGGCTAGGGCTAGGGCTAGGGCTAGGGCTAGGGCTAGGGCTAGGGCTAGGGCTAGGGCTAGGGCTAGGGCTAGGGCTAGGGCTAGGGCTAGGGCTAGGGCTAGGGCTAGGGCTAGGGCTAGGGCTAGGGCTAGGGCTAGGGCTAGGGCTAGGGTTAAGGTTAAGGTTAGGGTTAGGGTTAGGGTTAGGATTAGGGCTAGGGCTAGGGCTAGGGCTAGGGCTAGGGCTAGGGCTAGGGCTAGGGCTAGGGCTAGGGCTAGGGCTAGGGCTAGGGCTAGGGCTAGGGCTAGGGCTAGGGCTAGGGCTAGGGCTAGGGCTAAGGCTAGGGCTAGGGCTAGGGCTAGGGCTAGGGCTAAGGCTAGGGCTAGGGCTAGGGTTAGGGTTAGGGTTAGGGTTAGGGTTAGGGTTAAGGTTAGGGTTAGGGTTAGGGTTAGGGTTAGGGTTAGGGTTAGGGTTAGGGTTAGGGTTAGGGTTAGGGTTAGGGTTAGGGTTAGGTTTAGGGTTAGGGTTAGGGTTAGGGTTAGGGTTAGGGTTAGGGTTAGGGTTAAGGTTAGGGTTAGGGTTAGGGTTAGGGTTAGGGTTAGGTTTTAGGGTTAGGGTTAGGGTTAGGGCTAAGTTAGGGTTAGGGTTGTGTCTCGCGTTGGTTTTGGTTTTGTTTGAAGTTTTAGGCTAAGGTGGATGCTTAGGTTTTGGTCTTTTTCTTAAGGTTTGGATTAAAGTATTATACAGGTATAGAATTCTAGTTAGAGTTAGGATTCTAATTTGAGAGGGGGGGGGGGGGTAATTCCCCGGGGGGATATTTGAGAGGGGGGGGGGGGGGTAATTGACAGGAGGTAATTGCTCCGGGGTGGGGGGAAATGCGAGGGGGGGGGAATGTCCGGGGGGAAAAATCATAACGTTTTAATAACAAGCTTTTATGTAATAATGCACTAAAAAGTAGAACATAAATTATACACTACTATTTAAATAATTATAAAGAGAAGCATGGGTCTCTTCCTAAATATTATAAAGATATCCAATAGATACTAAATTGACCCACGATTTTCTTTATAGTAATTTAAATAGTAGTTAATAATTAATTTTCTACTTTTTAGCACATGTAAAAACTCGTTAACATTCAGTGTTTTAGACATGTTTTTTCCGTACTATTTAGTCTTAGATTTAAGAATAAACAATGCACCGTTATACAAATTACGCAATCCGTCACATTTTCACATGATCCGGAGGTCGATTAACCTTCACCCAGAAGGACAACCCCCACTCAACTTACCCACAGCAAAACCCATCACACCCACCGTAGATTTATTTACATACACACACACACACTCAAATAATTACCCTTGCCTACACCACAACAACACACAATAATTTCTCCTACACTAAATTCTCCCACACTAAATGCTCTCACACTAAATTATCCCACACTAAATTCTCCCACAATAAAATCTCCAAAACTAAAAATCTCCAAAACCTAAACTCGATAAAATAATAGTCTCCACCAAAATCGCCCAAACATTCAATTCCACCATACTATATTCCATCACACCCCCCCCCCCCAGAATATTAGTGTTAGTTCCGATAGTGCACCAAGGTGTAACACAGTTCACAGCGGTTTGCTGTCGTCTTTTGTTTGATTGAGAGTATCTCGCGCGTAGAACTTTTTTGTCAGGGGAAATAACAAACAATTTTACTTTTTAAGGGAGGTAATTATAAAATTAAATGATAAAAAGAAAAGAAAAAAGTACTAATATATATTGAAACAAAAACAAGTAAACAAACGTTAGTATTAATTATAAAAAATTAAATTACAAGATAAATATTTAAAAATTTGATGATTAATAACAAAATGTTAATTATTACTCCTAGTAATTGTTAGTTGTTAATCCAATAATTAGTTAACACTAGTATCAACCAGCTATAATATAAATACCAAGAAGATTGAATGGGTGACGATAAAGGTCTTTTTCCGCTGCGTGTTCTTATATTTGCGTATTTACTGAAGTCTCATATGGTAACGCAGGGGTCGGTAAACTTCGGCTCGTGAGCCGCATGCGGCTCCTTTAATGTCATGGTGCGGCTCTCCAGTTCCATGCACAATGATTAATAAGTGTATAGTTTCATATTCAAAACTCATAAAAATAATATACTGTAAAGAAAAACAAATTTAATAGGATTAAAAAACTCATCAGAGAACAGTGAGAATAGGTGAGGTAGAAAGTAAATGGACAGCTGACAGCCGCCTTGGCACCAGGCCCAGCCCCACAGCCGCGCTGTAGCCAGCCCCGTGGAGACCATTCCATGCTTGCCACTGCCCAAGGGCCGCCCTTTTCGACTGTCGTTACATGGGGAATGTTATTTTATTCAGAATGCATTCCTCTACCTGTCAGTATGAATTAATTTGACCTGAGTGACGAAGTATGTTAGTTATTAGTTTCATACGGTTGAGCTATAAGGTACTGGACTCTGGGTTCGTGTAGGGTGAAAGATAAGCCTTGTGAGAACCGAAAGACAGAAGCGACCGATACAGTAATCAAACCGATATCCAAACCAGTTAGTCGGAGTTTGCCGTGCTGAGGCCTGTCTGGCTATGAAAGATAACTACTGAACCAGTGGTGTCCGTAAAGAAAGAATCAAAAAGTTATTGGCTTCTAAAGTGGATTGGGATAGTCATATAGTTATATTATGTGATTTCTAATTGTATCATAAGTAGATCTAACTAAAACAGTTTTTGTGCGAAACATTTGTTTGTTTTTATATGAAACAATAAGTTCTTATTTAGCGCTATTTATTTCAAATGTATTTACCCAATCCTTATCAAATACCTAATTATTGAACAAAATAATGTTAGTAGCTCTTTATTGGCTGGGATATTTTGTAAATTGTAACTTTTGGCTCTTCCGTCTCTAAAGTTTGCTTAAAGTTATCGTAAGGTTGGCTATTTATCTATATGAAATTAACATTAAAAATAACCCATTAGATTAGAACAGTGGTTAGGTAGGACACAAGCTTTAAATTTTAACGAAACCAATGTTTTTAAAAATATATATATATATATTTATATTTCACAAAAATAACGGGTTTATTATATGAATATAAAATGTATAATTAAAATATTTTTGACACAATTAACTAATATTAATTCTCGAATGCAACTCTGATCTTGTAATATATTATTCATTATATTTTAAGCTTTAGGTGAGGTTTTTTCAAGGGAATGTTCTCCAAATTAAACGACAAAGCCATTGGAGCAATCATGTTGGTTATCTCCCTTACCAATCTCTGCCTGGTAAGATAATAACAAGCTTTACACCTAACAGTAATGTTTTTAAAGTTATTTATATTTTTTTATATTTCACAAAAATCCCGGGTTTTTTTATATGAAAATAAAATATATAATTCATATAAGTAATATTTTTGACACAATTAACTAATGTTAATTTTTGAATGCAACTCTGATCTTTGTAATATATGATTTATTATAGTTTAACCTTTAGGTGAGTTTTTATTTAAGGGAATGTACTCTACATTAAACGACAAAGCCATCGGAGCAATCATGCTGGTTATCTCCCTTACCATTCTCGGCCTGTGTCTGGTCGCCATTGTCAAACTGCTGCACTACCTTCTCCAAGGCCCATCGCTCTCATCATCAAAAAATTCATCAACGCGGACTTTCCCGGACCGCTGGGCTACCTCACCGGATACCTCGCCATCATCATCGGCGCCGGGTTGACCATCATCGTCCAGAGCTCCTCCATCTTCACCTCCAACCTCACCCCGCTCATCGGCATCAGGGTCATCGAACTCGACCGGATGTACCCTTTGACCCTGGGGTCAAACATCGGCACCACGACCACGGCGATTCTCTCAGCCTTAGCCAACACGGACGGCCTCAGAAACGCGTTACAAGCAGCCTTCTGCCACCTCTTCTTCAACATCACCGGCATCCTCCTGTTCTACCCCATCCCCTACCTCCGCTTCCCCATCCCGCTTGCCAAATTTCTAGGCAACTGCACGGCCGAGTACCGCTGGTTCGCCATCGTCTACATCCTCCTCATGTTCTTCCTCTTCCCCGCCCTAGTCTTCGCTCTCTCCATCCCGGGCTGGTACGTCCTCCTCGGCGTCCTCGGGCCCGTCTGCCTTTTCTTCATCATCATCGGTGTCATCAAATGCCTGCAGGCTAAACGTCCCCAGAGCCTGCCCAGAAAGCTCCAAAACTGGATGTTCCTACCCCAGCCGCTACCGTCTCTAGAACACTATGATCGCACAATGCAGAAAGTCTTCTTCTTCAAGCGGTTCCAGACAGACTCTACCGAGAAGACAGACACTGGTGCCACGTCAGACAGACAAGCTAACGGAGAGTCCAGCACGCGACTTTAGTATGACCACGTGACATTTTTTACAAAGTTCGATTACTGAAAACCTATTTATTCTATAATGTTACTCATATTTATAACTTGTATATAATAAGATAAATTACATTCGTTTAAGTTCAATATGTATATATATATATATGTATATATATATATATATATATATATATATATATATATATATATAGGATGTATAAGGCTTACTTTTTTTATTGAAAGGCCAACCTCGGCCACTTTAATATTTGTCCCTAATGAATAGCCCACCCAGGACACGTTAAGCATCGGCATTCGTTGCCATAAAATGAACTAACAGATCTAGAAAGAATAAAAAAGCTTTCTGTAAGATACCGACAAGAGTCCCCCCCCCCCCTCCCACTAACATTTTGAATGAAGTTACTAGTCTGTTACCAACACTTTAAAAGGGACGGCGTGGTCGGACTGTAGGGCACACAACTGCTAACACGAAAGTCTTGAGTTCGGATACCGGGTTCGAGTCCGTAGGACATTCTTATATTCACTCACCTCTGATGGGTACATGACTCAACTTAGGGAAATAAAATAGGCATGATATACGAATGAAGTTCGAACGAGGAGATGGAGATGGCTGGGCCATGTCCTACGCATGAGCAAAAGAAGACTCCCCAACATTTAAGAGTGCGATGCGCTAGACTGCTAATCCGAAAGTCTTGAGTTCGAATCCGGGTTGAACTGAGTAAAACTTCCATGAGTTCACCCAGCTCTGATGTGTAACAGAACAAACTAAGGCAGCTTCACATTGTGCTGACCACACTATCCCTTCAAATGCCTAAGGTCACCGAAACAGATGAACTCTACTTCATCTGCCCCGTGTGTCTAGGGCACGAACGGGAAAAGATGATGAGAAGAAAACTTTGAAAAAATAGATGGCTTTATGTAAAAAATTACGCTTTTATATTTTGTACTGATGATTGGACATATTTCTTACTAATAAAAACATTTTAATTTTTTGCAATTTTAATTAATTATTATAATCTTTATAAAAGGGGTATACAAACTCCTTTAAAAAAATATTAAATAGTCACTTTAAAAACATAATCACTAATTAAAAAGAAAGAGACATTTAAAAAATTACATTAATACAATAAAACCTTACAAAAAAGTTATTATTTAGTTGTAACCGGAAACACAAACATTATTTAAAAATAAAGACACATTATTTTTAATATTTTCTAATGAATAAATTGACACACAGGGACACAACTACAACATTCCCTGGTTCACCCTTGAAAAACGACACAAAGGGACACAACTACAACATCCCCTGGTTCACCCAATACGCTTGAGCCAGCTGCGGCGGATGTAGTCTCGTGAACATCGGGACGGCCCGTCGTCGATAATCTCCGCGTTGGTCAGCCGGCAGTCCCGGCAACATGCGGCCATGTCGTAGAGCTCCACACCGAAGGCCTCGAAGCAGCCGAAACAGCCCAGCAGACAGCTCATCTTGGCGCTGCGGGGGTTGCACTCCAGGCTGGTGGAGGCGCGCGCGGTGGCCAGGTGCAAGGTCAAGGTGAGGACGATGAGGGTGATCAGAGCGTGACGAATCTGAAAGTGGGAGAAATAAGTAGGTGTAGTAAGGGTCAAGGATTTGTGTAGTGAGTTGAAGTAGGGCCAATAGTAGAGATCTTAAAAATAAATAGAATTAAATCTAGTATGAGTGTGTGCTATTGTTCAGAGTATATATATATATATATATATATATATATATATATATATATATATATATATATATATATATATATATATATATATATATATATATATATATATATATAAATCTTGGGTAAATCTTGGTGTCGGACAACACTTCGTCGAATACGTATCAAAGAACAGGATTTCCTCTCCCAGCTGGGCCCGACGTCCATGTTAATGTTGACCCTGTTAATTAGGTCAAACACATCCCAGGTAACAAAGTTGTTGACCTCGACAGATGGAAAGGGTGGGAGTGAGGGGGTGGTTAGTCGCGTGACATGAACGTTTATTTATATTTATCAACGTTCTTATTTCAATTTTTTTCCCACGGTTTTCTTCGTCATACATGTGAAGGTCATTGACCTATCCACGATAAATACAATCGATCTTGGTCAGTGTTCCAGACGTATACCCGGATGGAAATTTGTCTGTCCATTTGGGCATTTGTCCCACTCGGCCAAACCGAGAAACGTTATGTCGGTAAAACGACATACAAATAAAAGACCTACGGACACAAGACCTACGGATATCGTCCATTCTAAGAGAACGACCTACGAACAAGCGACCTACCTTCGTGCAAGTGTCTAATAGGCGTCTGATCAGATTCCACGATAAAATTAATACCACACAAATAAAAAACTCACTGATTTTCTAAAATATGATTTTGAAAAAAAAAGACTAAAAAGACGAGACAAAATTAATTACATCACTGTTTGCCCCAACAAAGGATAGTAGACCTATAACTTAACCAGGAAATGTTTATGAAAACTTATATAAATTTAACTGTTAAACCTTTGTAAGAAAATATAAAAAATCGAAGATAAATAACAAGATTATTACCATTTTATAACCATATATTTATGTGGAATGGCGTGGTCTAGCGGCAGAACGCACGCTTGATGCCCTGGAAGTCCCGGTATTGAAACCCGGGCTTTACAGCGAAAGATTCGTCATGTCCATTCAGCTCTATAAATAGCTATGCTTATTGATCGACAGCGGTCACCAATGGTAAATCATTGACAAAAACAAAACACAAGGTATTTTGTCCATAATTCCATAATTAACTTTCGCTAGATTCTGTTTCACACACATTCTCTGCTGTAACCTGAATAATGTTTTTTCCTTTCTTAAAATTTTTTCTTTCTTTTTTTTTTTTTTTTGAGAATTTAAAGTTAAAAGGTTTCAGGGAATTCCCAATTTTATCATGAATTAATATAAAAAAAAAAAAACAACTTCTCTTCATAAAAGACATAGATAGATACAAAAATAGATTGTAGTGTAAATTGGATGACATGTTATTAAATCTGGGCTCAAAATGTAACGTGAAAAAGGGCACTCAGACATTGCATTCTCTCCCTAACTTTATGTCATTTATTTCTAGAATTTATTACACGTCTAAATATTTGTCTTTAAATATAATAAACACTAGCAATTACGAACACGGTGGGGCCAGTCTTTGATCTCAGACTGGTTTCTAGAGTATTCCATTTCCGATTACTGGTACTTCACAGGTTTGTCGGTATGTAGGTTACAGCATGGAGTCTTGGAGTTGTCGTTTTTATTTGTCAGATTCTGGGTTAGTAAAGCTACTATTTGTCCATTTCTGGGCAAGTGATATTTTAATTTGTCTTTTTCTAAGCCGCGATATTACAAGCTTTTATTTAACTCACTTCCTCTGTCGACAGTCTGTCGTCAGTCTAGACGGAAACGCAGGAGTGAAAATTCGGACAGTTCTACTTGACCGACACGATTCACAGTTGGCACGTGGGTCAAGACATGAAGACAATGCAATCTGAAACTAAATTTGACTTAATTGGATGCCTAATTGATTTTTTATGAATTAATTAAAATTTGGACCGAATTAGTAGGCATGTCTAGCCAACCACACCACACGCGTCATCAATAGCTGCGCCATCACGACCACGTAATGGCTGCGTTCAAAAACCATTGCGCGCCTACTGAACGTGATATTCAGTAGGCGCGCAATGGTTTTTAGTCATGTAACTCTATTGTAGATAAAACATGTAAAGTACTGAAAAAAAAATTCATAAAAAACGTTTTAATAACAAGCTTTTATGTAATGATGCACTAAAAAGTAGAAAATAAATTATAGACTACTATTTAAATAACTATAAAGAAAAGCGTGGGTGTCTTCCTTAACATTAATAAAGGTATCCAATAGATACTAAAGTGACCCACGCTTTTCATTATAGTTATTTAAATAGTAGTCTATAATTTATTTTCTACTTTTTAGTGCATCATTACATAAAAGCTTGTTATTAAAACGTTTTTTATGAATTTTTTTTTATATTTGTCGTTTTCTAAGCAGGTGATACTTATATTTGTCGTTTTCTCAGCCGGCGATATTTATATTTGTCCTTTTCTAAGCCGGCGATATTTATATTTGTCCTTTTCAAAGCCGGCGATATTTATATTTGTCCTTTTCTCAGCCGGCGATATTTATATTTGTCTTTTTCTAAGCCGGCGATATTTATATTTGTCCTTTTCTAAGCCGGCGATAATTATATTTGTCCTTTTCTAAGCCGGCGATAATTATATTTGTCCTTTTCTAAGCCGGCGATAATTATATGTCCTTTTCTAAGCCGGCAATACGTATATTTGTCCTTTCCTAAGCCGACGATATTTATATGTATCCATTCCTCAGCTGATGATATTTTTAGTATACTTCTCAGCTAGTGATATTTATTTTGTCCAATTCTCAGCAAGTGATTTTTTATTTTGTCCAATTCTGAGCAAGTGATTTTTTTTATTTGTCAACTTTTCAGCAGGCGAAACGTCAAATTGTCCATTTCTCGAGCAGTGTAGATTTTGTCCATTCTTCGACTTCTTGAGCGTCCATTTACGACCTGATCTAATCAAACGACTTGTCTAAAAATACTAACCAATCAGCAGCAATCCCAGACACTAATAACGCTTAAATTCTGTTGTTAGCTCAGGAACTGGTCATTAGCTCAGGGTAGACACAAGTCGTGAGAGGAGGGGAAGGTGGGTGGGGGGGGGGGGGGAGAGCTGCTACCTACCGCTATACCAAATATCTAAAGGTCAGCCGAACCTAGTTTGTTGTGAACGGATATCGATTAATCGATCTATACACGATGCAGATCAGTTGAGATTTGTATACACTTACCTAGGTAAACAATATCAGTAAGAATATACTTTCTTGATATGCTGCACTCACGCACACATTTAGATGGCTCTAGTTAGTCTAGTTGTTTCTTTCATGTATCTCACGGTAAGGGGTGGGGTGGGCCGTTGGGG